TAGGGCTAAGTACAGGATCGATTGTAGTTTTTTGTCGGCTTCTTCTGTTCTAATACCGTTAAATTTCTTGATTTCTGATTTAATAGATGCCGTTTCCTCCTCGTCGTATCGTCTTTGTTCTTGAATGTTTCCGTCTATTCTAGATTTTATTCGGCTTTCCGATTCGTTATCTGTAGGATTTTCCAATGTTGGTGGTTGGGGATGGTGTGTTTCCGAAGGGTTTAGTAGATTTTTGATGTCTATGTTTTCTTTTGCGATAGTAGCTAAAGGAAAAAGATCATTCCGATCTTCCTAAGGAATAGGTGGGTCTACTGTATGGTTCTGCCAAAATGGAGGTATCCCTCTCACGTTGGATTCGTTATTTGACTGCGCCATGATAAAATGTTGCTTTGTTACAGCTAACTCTACTTTATACAATTAAAAGAATAAAAGAATAAAAGTGAATTAGTCTAAAGTTAAAACATTAAAAAAGTGAAAAGAGCATTTTCTCCGCCGGAGAGAATGAAAGAGTGAAGGTCATAAGTAAGTGACCTGTTAGAAAGGTTATGTAACAATTGCTAACAATACTAAATGAGTTGAAATCACATCAACTGACCAAATAATTTATTTCAAATAAAGACTTGTTGTCAGTGTAGAATCTTCAAAAAATTGCCAAAAAATGACCTTAGCTGCTAACTAGTAGAAATAATGTTAGTTTTGATATAAAAACATGAACTTACTTGAAAATGCTCTTTCTAACATCTGGTGAGCTGCACAAACGAAAAGCAGCAAAAGCAGGGTGCGAAACAATCGTTGACAAAAGCTGCGGCCGATTTTTTGTTGATATACATTCGCTGGAAAATTGAAATTATATTTTAATCAAATTATAAACTCATTGCTTCAAATCACAGATTTTTCTCATTGCTTCATATGAAAGATTTGTATCAACTCATTGTTTCAAATCACAGACTTTTAAGAACAGAAAAAATCAATTAATGAACCTACCCATGTTTGAGATAAGGGTTTCCCAAAGAAGTCTGCACTAGCAATTAAAAATTAGAAATCGACAAATTTACAGACGACATTGTAAATTGTGAAAACTAAAGATTCCAATTGTATTTTCTATGTTTACTGCTCTGACTTAATCGCATAATTTTTTAGGACACGCCCACTCAGCGGGAAAAAAAGATGTCACTTCATTTTGACAATAGAAAATATCCGTAAATTATGATTTAATCATTCGTTTAGAAGTTTGTAATGATGGAAGCAATATTTTGCTAAATAATGGAGTTCTTAGCAACTAAACTCTTTTTTTTCGCATAGCATGAAGCTCACCAACCCCATCTAAGAAATATTTTATATCCAAAAAATTTCAGACGGGATCAAAGAAATGTCAAACTAGAAAGTAACAAAAGAAACATCATGACTCGAAAATAAAGCTTCCACGCATGTTGATGACAAATTTACTTTTTAGACAGGTTATTGTTCTGATTTTTGTAAGGAAAGTAACGGAATATTTGTGCTCCGGGTGGTTTTTTTTTCGTCAGACAAATTTCGATTTTTTAACTAGCCATTTTTGATGGATTTTTTAATCATTTGAAAGATATTGTTGTCCTGAGCTTAAATTTGAAAAGTTTTTTCAACTGTCCTCGTTTTTAGCAAAATTATGATGGTTTAAAAATTGCCATTTTGACCCATTTGGGACAATTAACGCGCGATATATTTCGCGCCATTAACGCGTAAGCGGATATTTAATCCGTCTTAGAAATCGTTCCAAATTGGTTGAAAGAAGCTTATTTGCCATAATTGATTTGTTACAAGGAACGAAATCTATCCTTTTGTACTTTATATGGCGTGTGAGGGAATGTTTTTCATAAAAAAATACCAAATTTTAGAGAAAAAAAATTTTATTTTGTTTTATTACATTTAATTTTTTAAAGTTATTACTGCTCCATAAACCTTAAAGGGCAGTCGGAACATTCAGGCTTCGCCCTGATACGAGCAGTCTTGTCTCATTTCTTGTGTTGCGATACGTGTTCTATTGCCATATGTCAATAATTGAAGTTTAAAATTAACTTGGTGTTAACCTTGACAGTTAACTCTTTGAGTTGAATTCAATTGGTTGTCTGATATATCCCTGATACGCTAGTCATGATTCATTCATTGTCACTAATTTGATAAAAAGATTTTTGTGAGTTGATTTCAACATTCTTTTCAAACTTGAGCTCGCATGTTATTGTTGTTCCGACTTTCGTAACAAAAGTAACGGAAAACTTGTACTCGGGGTGGGTTTTTTTTTCTCCAGACAAATTTCGACTTTTTAACTAGCCATTTTTGACGGAATTTTTTTTAATAGCGTGGTACTCGGATATTAGCACAAAAAGAAGCAAAAATGGACAAATAGCATGCAACTCCGCCAAATATTGATATTATTATTGTCTTAGAGTTACTTTACATGCCAAATTTTTGGAACGTCTTTATAAGTATTTTGGAATAAAACGTGAGTTTTTTGAAAAAAAGTTTCAAAAAAAGATACTCTTTGAAGCTCAGAAGTAAATCAAGCTTTAGCAAGCTTGCAGTGAAAAATTTTCAGGTTCCGATTTCCAATCTTGATTTTTTCAGATAAAGAGAGTTGCAAAAAGTTCGGTCAAACAAATTTATTTTAAAAAACAATTGTCCTTTTTTGTCAGTTTCCTATATAGGTCGAATTCTTTTTTCAATTAATTTCGCCTGTCTGATCTTTCCTCTATTATTCTATTATTATAAGTTTAAATGCGGGCTTCACAATCTTTTCATGATTAAGCTTCGACAACTTAAATTTTGCATATATAACAAAGAAAATTTTTCACGTTTTACCTATATCGTATAATGCAATGCTAAGATATATATTTTTTAAATTTTCCTGTTTGATTTCGGTGATTATTTCAATAAGATTGAAATAAGCAACCCAAAAAGAGAATGCTGTCAGGGTTCCCTCAGAGGTTAAAGATTTTTTTAGTTTACGAGATAAAACATTTTTTTTTTGATTTTTTGAGAAACTTTCAGAAATTTGAATTTAAAATATTCACAGAAAATAAAATTCCTGTAGCTGAAGATGAGTGCTGTCAGAATATTTTCAGGCGATGCAAATTCTGCGTGAAAATATGACTGCTCGAATTTTTTCAATTTCCGAGATAAGACGTTTTTTTAAGGCTTTTCAATTTTTTAATTTTTAATTTTGCAATCCTGTAGTCGAGATACTCTCAGGGATTGTAACTCTTGCCTCAAAAAAGTCTGCTTAAATAATTTGATTTCCGAGACATGACGTTTTTTATGTTTCTTTTAAAGTTGCAGATATTGCTTCAAAGATTGATTGCTCATGTCATCTTAGTTTTGGAGATAAGCCATATCGGCAGATGCAGATGAGGTCTCTCATCCTGATATCGTTGCCCAAAATTTTAGTTTTTCAAATATGCCTTCTTTGTAATTTTTCAAAGGTTTTTTATTAAACTCTCTTTTAATTAAAAAAAATAGAATTTAATTTTTTTAAACTAATCACGCTGGATTATGAATCCAAGTTGTATTTTTGATGGTTTTGCAAATGACATTTAAAAAAAAACTAAGAAATGGGAAGTTGAATGCTGTCGGCCACTATAGAGTTTCTTCGTTTATGGGTTAAAAATACGAAGACTTGAAACCTAGTAGTTTTGAAGCTTTGACCAATTTAGTATAGAAAAATTTTCAAATGAATTTATTTTTAATGTTCAAATTTTGAAATCAGAAGCGTTGTTGTAATCACCCCGTCTATTGTTGTGGTTGCATATGTTTTATTGTAATTGTTTTTTTCTAGACCAATTTTACGCTCACTAATCAGTTTGAATTACCTGAGGTGCGTTACACACTAGTTATATATTCAATGTATAATCATAATTTTTTTCACGTTTAAGCTATATCGCATATTGCAATAGTGAAAAATGTTCTTAGAGTTTTGAATTTAGTTTCAGTGTTTGCTTCATCAAGTTTTAGAGTAGTAACCCAATAAAGGGAGTCTATTAAAGTTCTCCGGTGCTCACCTCCAAATTTTTTTAATTTACAAGCTACAATGGTTTTGTCTTGTTTTGAAAAAGTTTCAGGAAAATTAGATTTTCAAAGTTTCACAATCTTTGAAATTGGCAACATTGTAGTTGGGTGCTGTCAAAGTATTTTCATAGGTTGCAAATCTTGCTTTCAAAAATGAACCCGCAAACTTTTTTAGTTTTCGAGATATGACGGTTCTTACGATTTTTCAGAAAAATTTCAGGAAACCTAGATTTAAAACATTTCTCAACATTTGCTCTTCCCAACCCTGTATTTGGGTGCTGTCAGGGTTTCTCGGTAGTAGCAAATCTCGTCATCAAAATTTGCTGCTCATATGTTCATACGTTATAATTTGTGGCGTTTTTTTTCTAATAAATTTTAAGAACTTCGATCAAAAAAACTTCACAAAAATTATAATAGAATAAACTAACATCCTCCCCCCAAAGCAGTTTTTTGATGGGGGAAAGATGATAACTTGATCCATTATAAATCCCGTTGATTAATTGTTTGCTGTCAGGGTACTCTCATGGGTTGCAAATCTTGCCTCCAAATATGACTGCTCGGGCGCTTTTAGTTTTCGAGATTTGACGTCTTATGGCTTTCCAAAAGTTGAATAAAAAAAAAACAAGAAACAAATTGAAATTAATATTACTGTAATTGGGGACTGTCAGAACAGTCTCAGAGGTTGCATATCTTGTTTCCAAGTTTGACGCTCAAGTCAACTTAGTTTCCGAGATATGACGTTTTTTATGATTTGTCAAAAATTCGGAGCACCGGAGGTGCGTTACACGATAGTTACAACTGATCTCCAGATTCAGAACTTTATTCAGACCGTTTTTTTAAGTAGTTTCAGATCAAGCTTGTATGGTTTTAGACACGCTTTAATTGAGCTTCTAGCAAATTTAATGATCTTTGACTGAAAAGCGAGATTTGCGTTTTTTGGACCATTTTAGCAAACAGATACCAGTACAAACACGTATAAATTAACTATATAATTTTATTTGACTCAATACATCTAATGGCACTGACAAGGCTCAACTTTTTCACTAGAATGTGGATTCTGATCTTCGTTCTCATTTCTTTCAATTGTGTTGATTCTCTTACTTTTTCGTGTCCTAGTAACTGTCGCTGTTCGGATAATTACTCATCCGAATCGGCTGACGACACGAAAAGGACTCTAGAATGCCGAGTAGATTCTCAAGATGGCCTGATCAGTTTTCCCGAGTTACATCCGGAGGTTGAGGTATTCACACTTACTGCTGGAAGTTACTTGAAACAAACACACGAAGAGACTTTCAGAGGGAGCCAACAGCTGGAGCAGATTTCGTTGAATAATTCGCAACTTGAAGATGTGGGAAAGGAGACGTTTTCTGGACTCTGGAAGCTGTCGCGTCTGGATCTCAGTGGAAACAAGCTGATGTTTCTGTCTTTGAAGGCCTTCTGGAAATTGGAAAGCTTTTTGGTAACATGTGAGTGACCTGTATACTACATTTTTGTTCTTTTTGCATAATATTCAACAATTTACTACATATTTTTTGCTCAAGTTTTTTACTGCATTTTTTGGACCCTAAAATCAAAAATGAAATCAACGTTGAGCTTCTAAAAAAAATTGCACTGTCTCAAAAATTGCACTGTCTCAAAAATCAATGCCTTAATTCTTAGATCAAGTGTTTTGTGCAATTATTAAGGTCAAAATTGTTTTGTTGTTGTCTAGTGAACTTGAGAAACAACCCGTGGCACTGTGACTGTGAACTGAGGAGGGAAATGGAGAGAATTCACGAGGCCATTTTCTTCGACATCAACACAATCAATTGTTCAACACCAGTGGAGTTCCAGGGTGTGAGTGCTTATTCATGGGTCTTGGGTGGTTGTTTTTTGGGGGAAGGGGGGCTCTGCGGTCTTATAGTTTCCTGGAATCTGCACATTGAATCGGCTGCGGAGTAGTTTTTTAACCTTTGAAAAATTTGTTGATGTTTTAGGGTCGACAATGTCAGATTTTTGAGCTCTGTCGAATCACTTGAATGATCATTCAATAGCAAAACTGTTTTGGATATTTTTGAGGGCTGAGGACCAAACTTTTATCTAAAACACAAGATTCTTAAGTTTTTTTATTCAATCTAAGCCTGCCCAAACCGTTAATTTCTTCCAATAAAAAAATCTAGAACAGTTTCGGTATTATATGATAATTCTAGCAATTGGACTGAGAAAAGTCAAGACCACAAAATTAAAAGATTTCCTCAGACCCCCTCGGAACGATGCTATGTTCATGCAATTTCAAAAGTGACCCCCTTACCTCTCTTAATTGTGGTTGCCACATTTTCCAAAGAGAACCCCTTGGTACTATTTTATGGCTACTAATTCTGGTCGACCAAGCGAAAAACTTTTCTGAAGACGCAGTTGCTGTCATTTTACTAATTTTGAGGTAAGCGCGCACCGAAAAAACGCGTTTTTGGATAAAACTGTGCTCGAAAATAGCAATTTCAAAAGAATTGACGGTGCTAAAATTCGTCCGAAATTATGTCATTGCTGGGTTTCAACAGATCAAAAAAAATTATAATTGGCCGGGCTAAAAAAAAGGCTGGAAATTTTTTTCTAACCTTCGTCAAAAATTTTCCGGGCAGGCAACTGTTTTATAAATAATGTTTTGTTTCAGATGAATCTGTTCGATATAGGCGAGTCAGATGTTTGTCCCAGACTGGGCAAAGCCAAAATAGGAAATGTCATCTTCCTTCTAGTGATTCTTGTATTGGCTATAGTCCTCACAATCGCATGCATCATTTACTACTACGGATGCATAATGCGACAATATAGACACGAGAAACTTTTCAAACCTCCCCAGTCGGTCATCAAATACTACCCCAAAGTGAAACAGCAGCCGAGCGATGAAGTCAACAACGAAGAGCATTACGACCAATATGACAGTTTGCCCAATTCTCCCAGAGTGTCTTTGGGTGAAAATAGCGGCCAATCAAAAGGGAGATTGAGCTCACCCACAAGTGGCAGCTTCACCATTGCTAGGCCACGACCAGGTTTGATCTTATGAAGAGAATCGCAAAAAGTTTGGACAAGCAGATTTAAGTAAGACCAGAAAATTACGTATATGAGAAAAGTTTGCACGCAAAAGCTAATCTACCTAAAAAGTCACCTGAAAATTGAACTTTGCATGCAAAATTTATTCAGAGTCGGCAGACATTGATTGCCTTTATCAATTAATTTTATCTAGCCGAACTACAATTTTTTAAAATACATTATTAAGTTTCCTAAGATTAAAATGACAAGAAGCATTTATCGTTCGTTTGTGTTTTTCCCGGCAGGGGCTGCGAGTTTTTTAAATTTCATAAGTTTTGTATATCATCTGAAAGGGGTTGCTCTGAGCCCAAATTTAAAGAACTTTTATCGTGATTGTTTTTTGTAAAGTTATGTGGTTCAAAATTGGCAATATGGGCAATATCGGACAATTGAAAGGTGATATTTTTCGCGCTATTCACGCGTAGGTGGAGTTGTTGTCTAACTCTCATTGGTCTAATTACTACTTTTCTAGATCCAAAATATATCGATTTGTGCTTAACATGGTACCTGAATGCATGGGTTTGGTATCCGCATTATACGTGTGGGGGAATAGTTTCCAGAAAAAAAATTTCGCGAATTTGTTTTTTGATTTTATCAAATTTTTAAAACGCTGATAATTTATCCCCAACACGCTGATAATTACAAAGAGAAACTTTGAAAGTTTTAGAGCCTTGTATCATCATAATCCGACCACATGACTTGCCTGAATTCAATTTGGAACGCATTGGTCCACCGCTTACGCTTGTTATACAAACGCAATTATAGCGCGTTAATTATCCCAAATTGGCCAAACTTGCAATTTTCAAACCCCCATAATTTTATGAAAAGTGATCACAGATGGAATTTTTTTTTTCAATTTTGAGCTCAAAAACTAATATTTTTCAGATGGTATAAAACAATTCTGTCAAAAGTTTGTAGTAAAAAATTCAAAATTGGCCGTCTAAAAATAATCGCACCAAGAATTAACTTTCCGGACCATAAAGCAAAAAGCGTAAAACCTAGAGACAGAACTGAGAGATAAATTTTCTAGTATCGCATAAGACCTATCATAGAAGATATATGCACAAATAACTATGTTCTTCGATCGAATTTTTGTTTTATATCATACAATTTCCATATAACAATAACTTCACACCTATATATGAAAGTTTTGGGAGAGCATTTTTCCATAAACTACAAAACTGATTTCGTACAAAACGTTTGATTGCTGACAATTTTTAGATGGTGTGAAAAATTGACAAAGACATTGGTGTACATAAAACTAGAGTCACCAAAAATTGGTTGGTCTTGCATTTACATTGCCTTGCAAAATTGGTTGGTCTTGCAAACTAGGTCATGAAAAATTGACCTGAGTTGTCTTAGAACTGTCAGACACAAATGATATAACGAAAATAACAAACTTTCAAGTTTTGGCAAAATTTTTCATAGATGAAAATTTTTTGAAGTTTGAAATTTTAATTAACCAGGCCTTGATCAAGGCATACATAAAGATATGGGCATACATAAGGAAAGGCATTTTGAGAGTTTTCAACAACTTATCCAGCGAAAAGGAAAAAAAATCTAACAGTCATGTATCTTGGACTACGTTATACACAAAAAAAATTTTATTTTGCAAGCAAACAGTTTTTTGAAGCGTTTTTACTTTAGACTTGATAAAGGGAAATTTATGATAAACATTTTGTAGTATAGAATTGTATGTTAAGCAAGTTTGGCGCATGAAGTTCAACCCGAGAAGAGAAGCATATCCATCCTATTTTTTTTTCAAGTTGCAATATTTTAATGTTCAGTTTTTAATATTTGAATTGTTTCAAGGTTTGAATAGTTAAATATTTGAAACATATCAGAAAAGTACTCAAAAAAGTGCATGTAGCATTTAAGTAGGGCCACACCATAGTTTCGCCGTGATGAGTTGTACAGATCGTATGTTGTTTCTTTCCCTCGTGAATAAACGGTCTTAGATCTCAAAGAAACGTTTAATTATATCACATGGCATGTTTGGGAAAAAAGCAACGTTTAAACAGTGTACTCGCTCATTTTTTGCGCTGAATCAATGATGCTAAAACTCTTCAATTATCTAGTAATTAAACTTTAATTAGAAATAAATCTATAAAATTAAATGAGTTAAAAATGTCTAGGGTGATCTTTGTTACAGATCTGCAGTTTTAACTTTGCTTTTTCAGCTAAAACAGTAAAGTTAATCAGGTAGATCACTCTTGTTTTCTGTCTGAATCAGATTTTAATTTGCCAAAAAAAGCAGTTGAGCCGATTAATTGGGCCATCTTTTTTTCAGGCGTTTTTTAACTGCATGAAACATTGTTGCTGTTTTTGAACTTTCCTACGTGCATAAGTTCTCCAAATAGATATAACTGTTAACAAATTTATCGGACAGCGTCTTAAATTTTTGAAACAAATCTGACAGTGAAATGGCGTTAAAAATTCAATTGAACTTTCAAAACTGCATTTGAACTGACAAAAGAGCAATGCAAACTGATTGCCCTTTTTCGAAGAACATTTTCATTCAACAGCGTTTTTCCATGCAAATTTTCAGAGCAAAAAACAAAAAAAAAACGACAAATAGGCAAACGCGAAACGTCAGAGTATTTCGATTTAGTTTTAATTTGAAGGCCAGAATTATTTCGGAAGTTTAGTACATTGTCCGATAATTTTGTTAAAAGCTATATCAAGATTTTTTCGACTTGTAGTGCAAATAAGCAGAAAAATCATCCTCACCTTATATTGAATTTATATTGTGTGTTTCTTAAAATCTCGTTGGAGACATACTTCGAAAAGTTGCTGATTACAGCTTTTTACGCTGGCCCAAATATCCCATTAAGAGCCTGATGGATGAACAAAATTTTGCATAAAAATACTTTTAACCTACCTTCGTCCCCGTCAAATCCGTAACTGGCTATACTCAAATTTCGGCCACTATTAAAATGGGGCGGATTTAGCGGGCTAGGGGATGACAGCTCTCTCTCTTTCAAGGTTATCATCTTTATCAGTCAAACAGCCCCCCCCCCTTTGATGCAATTTTATGTATCCATTTTGATTGCCCAAAACAGCTCTTTAAAAAATTGCCTGTGATGCAATGCTGAATTTTTTGAGTGTTTTGAAATCCTTCCCTCGCTGAGAAAATTATAAATCATGCAATGCTTTTCAAGCGTGTTTGTTGTTATCTGAAACTGCCTCTTTTACGCAGGTCGCCTTCAGTTGTTAACCTTGAAACGAAGGAAGCGAAAATTTCATTGATCAAGCTCGGCCCAATTTTTATTTTTCACAATATAATTATATGAAAGTTGAAAATTCGGAAAAAATAATTGGGACCTTCAAACCCGAAAGCATTTAGAAAACAAAAACATTGTTTGCAGTAAAATAGATAAAAATAGGTGTTAAAAACTAGCTTGATAAGAAATTGAGGCGGGCAAAAAATTCGACAAAAAAGAACGAAAAACTAATTTAAACTTAGATTAGTATCTTTTTACAAAACATTTCACCTTAAAAGGTCGCAAAAATTTATTGATAATTAGTAGCCATTTAACTTCTGACAGCAATTGGGCTATAATTGAGAGGGGGATTTTAGGAAGCGGCCGCTTGTTTCCGACATTTTGAACGCTTAAATTCTCAATAATGATTGAATTGAAAATACTTAACTGCGCCAAATATTTTTTGTGCTATGTAAAATTATAAGCAGAATATTTTGCATATTTTTTGTCAGTTATTTTTCAAATTTTTTCTTCTAATTATTAGAAGAGGGAGCCCGCGTCATGAGTCGAAATTTATTCCGGCGAAGTTTTTCAAAATTGTACTGCAATTAGTATATTTCCGAGTTGATCGAGCATTAAAAGAATTTATCAAGTATATTACAGTCACGGGACATGGAAGTTGCCCCTTTTACTTTTCAAGCTATGACATGAAAGAAATTTTTTTCACTTATCCGGATAAAAGTGCGTAATAAGATGTTGTAGAGGAGTCGTTTGAACATTTCATTAGGGTATTCATTAGTGCACACATCCGATTTGACAAATATCTGAAAAGCCAAAAAGTATAGCAAACATCCGAAAAACAGCTTTTATAGGGAAAACAACCGACCTTTTTCAAAAAGTAGGGCAAATATCCCATTTCTAGCGCTCTTTTGAAAAATGCTATTTTGGCCGATTTAATACTGACCGCCGCGGTGGCGCCTATATGATGCGAGCATGTCAACAGAGGAGTCTATATAGGACATTCTATCAGGACAAAAATTTGGCAGCTTTCTGCATTCAACCGATAAAACGATCGAATATTTTCTCTTTGCCTGTGGTTTTCACTGCACCTACTTAAAACACAGGGCCTATTCAAAAATATTTGGCTCGTTTACCAAGTCTTTTTTCTCAGGGGTCATTTTTAAAAGGTAAATATCGTTTGTAGTTAATCATAATTCGTAGATAATCATAAATCGTAATTTTCGTCAACAGCGAAGAAAGATTTTGTTTCCGACGAAATATTTTTTTTCATGGGAAGTTCATGATCTTGGTCATTTTCTGGGTTAAACTTCCATAACACTGCAAACATACTCTGTACTTGGGCAGTAATTTTTTTAATTTGTTTTCTACTACTTGTATAAAGAAATAAAAGGCAAAGGTACAATAACTAATTGTGTTTTCCTCTTTTGACCTGTTATTGTCATTTAGTTTCGAAAATGGTTTTTCTACATTTTACTGACAATACGGTAAAAGTAAACCTTTCATTTGATGCCTTTTACGATAGCAAATTAATTGGTACAAAGTAACAAAGCATCACAAATTATCAAACATTTTTTTATGATTTCAATTGTCACTTAAATTTTTTGATAGGAAAAGATTGATTGAGAAAAACTATCTAGTTATTAAATACAAATCTCGGCCATTTTTGTTAAGACTCAGACAAAAAAGTGGGTCAAAAATTCATTTAAGGCTGATTTGTTCCGTGTCTTTCTGGCACAAAAAAGCTGTGCTATGTTTTGCGATAGGCACCAAGTTCATCGTTTTGTTAATTTTCAAAAGGTAAAGCTAGTGCTAAAAACTAAACTAATTTGTCGTTCGGAATTTTATGTTTCAAAGACTTTAAACAAATAATTAATTTTTGTGATAGTGCTGAAGTTTCATAATTCCATTTTGGTTTTAGAACACCAATTGAGCCCCAATTCGAGCTCCATTTCCAACCAACCAGCGTCGATACTTGGCAGACGGTCTTCTCGTGCTAGTTCTCGTGGCTCGATTCGATTTGATTTGAGTCCCCAACCAAATCAGTCCCAGAGACAACCGTCAACCCCTCTAAGCCCCAATTCAAGCTGGTCTTCAAGCCAGCCAGAACCGGTTTATCGCAAATCGCCCTCTCGAACTAGTTCTTCGATCCGAGATGATTTGAGACGCCAACCGAATCAGTTCCAAAGACGGCCGTCTGTTCCTATCAGTCAAGACCGAAGTCATAGAAGACAGCCGAACCTTAGAGATTCCAGTTCCAGATACGAAGAAGATAAATTTGGATATCTAAGACCACCCAGGGTTGCTAATCCAGGAACCAGAGATAAACTTGGTCAACAGACGTTCGCATAGGGTGCGCATGGTTTTTGTTAACAATGATGCGAAGAAGTATATGTTAAATAATGTAAAATAATCATAATAATCATAAATTTGTTCATAAAATATGAAAATTCTATCAATTGAAGAGTACCGAAACCAGCAAGCGCAGAAAGTAGTTCATCCTGCAAATGCGCCGCTTAAAAACTTTTATTTCGTAACCAAAAACTATCAGTTAATCAATGTATTACTTATACCAAACAACGAAAAGGCGTTATACCATAAATTAAACAGTTTAGTTGAGCGTAATCTAAAATGAATGACGCGCTGAATAAAACAGTAGTTTTATTTAAGTTTTCAAAAAACTTTTTGATGTTAAATATGAACTACTTTTAATTTTACGCTGTATAACTAGTTTTCAGTATTTGTTTTACGATCATTAAAGTTCTGGAGATTGAATTGTAAATGTCATTCTGAAACAGATTTTTCAAGTAGACACCATGAATCAAAAAATTTGTGTTTCGCATTTTTATTGGCAACTCTGTATACTAAGATAACGTATTGACATAGTGATTGGGTATATTGGTTGGAAGTGTTAAAAAAAACGGAGTCGAGAAAATAGAAAATTTGATAGAAAGGATAAATAATATGACTGCATTTGCTTCGAATTGTTTCAACATTTTTCATTAATTTTGAAATTTGGTTCAAAAATGATTCCTAGGTTTTAAATCAATTTCAGTTCTACTGAGACCTTAATCTTTTGAATACATTGATAACACATTGCTCATAAGATTCAACAGTGACCATGCTTTATGATTTGTTTTTATTGGTTGTAAGTTTTTTTTCCAGGCACTTTGATATCAGTTTCAGATCTTTTTCAGTTCTGTATTTTTGTTTTATTTGCTAAAAGTTAGCTCGGCACAAAGAATAATTTTTCTGTGCTGTGATATGTTGCAAAAATCATTGAACTAATTTAAATAAAGCAAGGAAACCATAACATGTACCCCCTAACAGGTAAACCATAACTTAGAAAAGATGAGAAAAAAGTATTTATTAGTTTAGCTAGTTTTTTTTATATGACTCGATTATTCGCGATATTTCTTCAGTCAATTGTAGTATTGCGTGTAGAGTCGGTAGCATTTGTTGCTGAAGGCAAGCGTTTATTTACAAAGTCAATAATTTTTACCAATCTCGAGTTACATATCTACCAATTTAAAAAAAAAAACAGTTCAAATTATTTTGGGAAGCACAATTTTGCGGATTCAAGCTTTATTGCAACTGCAGTTATCATGCAACTTTTAACATAGTTTTCTTGCGCTGTAACTTTCTTGGGTTTTCTTGCACTTAAACTTCTGATATAGTTTTTTTTTTCTGTTTTCTGTCAAATCAATTTTATAATCATTATGACACCAATAATGATAAGAAATTGTTTTTCTTACAGTAGTATGCATATAGTGCGTTAGGATCGGGGGGGGGGGGTTGTCATACATGGATGACCATTAGGTATAAATCATAATGGTCACCATGTATTAAATGATCAGCAATGGTCACCATGTAATAATCCTAATTGTCACCATGTATAATTTTATACCTAATGGTCACTATGTAATAATCCTAATTGTCACCATGTATAGTTTTATACCTAATAGTCCTCATGTAAAACTTCGGTATATTATTGAGTATTCCCACTGAACGTTGTGGAAACGGGAATGGAATTAAGTTTTGGTCGGTGCATGTTTTCCCTTCTAAAGTTTGGGGGTATTGGTTTGTTTTTATGTAAAATGACGTTATATACCTATTATATGCGACCAAACTATATGGTATATAGGAAAGCACAAGATTTTGGCAGCGTAGCTTAACTGTTGCCTGCGGTGAACGATTTCCTTCAAAAATGCATGTTTTATTGCTGAATCTCGAAAAAAGGAAAATTCGTCAAGCGCGGCGGCCGCCACCTCTATTTAGGCAAAAATTAATAATCAATTTGACTAAAATAAGAATGAAAAATTTCGTTCAGCCAACTGAAGGTAAAAACAAAGAAAAATTATGGAACACTGAAAACTCTAAAATGATGAAATTGGTTTGAAAATTTTGACATTTCCATTTTCCGTGTCTACAGGAGACTGAAAAATAAACGTCTGAAATCTATGACAAAAACTTTGATTTTATAGAAAGATTGAAAGAGCTAATAAGTTGAAGTGGCTAAAGATCTTGAAAAACGAGAACACTGATGAAAGCCAAAAGTGCCCATTAATTTTGCTGCAACCATTTCTAAGACTTGTACCTAACTTGTTACTATAAAATTGAAGTGGAACAAAATTTCTTGGGGTCCGAGTAGAGGAAAACGCATGGCGCTCGACTCTCAGCCGAAAGGCGGCGTTTCGAAACCCGTCCGGAAATTGTACTGAAAGGAGGCAACAGTTACTGGTATGGTGATATCCCCCCATAGATCGATTTTGTACTTTTTTTCTCACTTTGATAAAAAGCTTAACTTCTCGAATTACTGCTTTTTAGTTAACAATTGGGTAAAATTTCAATTACTGAAAGAATGTATTGTTCAAAATTAAATTGTAAAATTTATAAATCAACCATATTAAATGGTTAGTTAATGGGTAAGCATGTGAGTTAGGAAACGTTTCAAAACATGATCAGTTATGTAAACAAAATCAGAAGCATCACCATTAAATTTTTTATCAAAAATCAAATGTGCAATATAAATACAAAAAGAACCGCACATGGTAGAGTTTGAGTCTTGCATGGGAAAGTTTGTCATCAATTCAGTCACCTGATGAAAATTCTCGTTCAATCGTTCATACAGATTGGTGTACTGCCAAGAAGGAAGACCGAGAGGATCAGCGAAGTATAAAACATTTCTTCTGTTGCATATCACAATCCAATGTGTCCCCGGAGAAACTGATTTTGAAGTGTTCACAATCATAAAGATATTGTTTGGGATGTGAGGTGGAAAATTGTCGGCTGCAAATACTCCAAAAAACTTATATTTCAGATGTTTACAATTCTGAATGAGGTCCTGCAACTGGATTTCATCCATTTTCAGACTGTCGAAATGGGAAGGACGTTCTTTGTAACTTTGCGGTCGGAGGTAATAAATACATTGGATGAGCGTATACCCCAAACAAAAATTTCCAGGTTTGCTGTCAAAGCGTTTGAGAATTGAAGATCGAGTGAAACTGAGCAGTTAGTAAGTTCTGGATGCAAGAAGTCATGAGCTGCCTGCTGTGTGCTAGTGAGATCAAAACACATAATAAAGTGCTGTTGGTAGTTATCCAGAGTGATTCCCAGCCCGCAGTGCAACAAACCCAGCGCTGATAGTGTGTTGAAGAAGAGACGTTTATGATCTTGTGTACTGATTGGTGTACTTGCTATTGGTAAACCATTTCGTCTCAAAGTAACTTGCTCCAATCCAAATTTTTGATAATGAAAAGGATTCGTTCGGTTTGTTCCTAGAAATGCATTATTTGTGTTCAATGCTATGATAATTTGTCTCACCGGTTCACGAGCAAAAATATCTTCCTGTTGCCAGCTGCGCTGACCAGCTGTTGCAAGAAATGTTTTTGTAATTTCTTCTTGATATGGGTAGTTCCCAGGAGTTTTGAGCAAAGTTGATTCAATGGCAGAGAGCACATGGTCGGTCACAGTCATTTTTCTAACATATAGGTTCGCTTCGAGTATTTGCAGCTTGTAATGCTTGGCAGCATCTTCCGATATAATGAGAAAGTCTTCATGAGAACGTCTGTAGGAAAGTCTGAGGGTAACACCGCTCAACAAATGCTTGTCACATGTGAAAAAATCAACTCCAGCGGGTCCATAGAACCAAATTTCCCTCGATTCCCGGACCAGTTCTCGTTGAGATGTGAAATCAGCTGCATCTATTGCAGCGGGATTGTTTTCAAAACGATATCCCTGACACTTAAGCCATGAGTCCTTGGCTCCTTTGCTGTTAGAAAATTCTGTTCCAATAAAGCTTTTATGCGCAAAATTACTATTGGCATTTGAGATTTTGAGTCCTTTAGCAGAGAGGGTACAGTCAGAGAAAAGGGAATACAGGGAGTTGTTTACGAGGAACGGTGAATCAGACACAGTAGGATCAGTGTTGTCGTATCACAGATCAGCTCCATTTGATTGCGTTACTTTGCATCGTATTTCCAAATAAATTTTTTGCAGGTCAACAAAATTATTACGGTCACCGGTGATTTCAAATTCAGGCATTGGTCCATTAGGTGAATAGACAGGTCCAATTTTTTGATCAAAAGCGTTTTCAAAAGTAATCAAAAGAGGTTGTTTTTCAAACAAATCCAGACAACTATGGGTAGCTTCATTGGGTAACAAATTAGCGATCATTTTTTATGTTTGAGAAAAAATCTGCTCGACTTCTCACTGGTCTGGTTTTTCTTCGAATGGTTGTTTTTTTTTTCGAGCCCCTACTGACCTTCTTCCTCGTAATTCCATTCATTGGTGTCTTTCGACGACGACGTCTACCACCACCGAGTTGTTTTCTTGCAGTTTTTGTGACAGTGTTTTTCAATGCTTGTTTAGGAGACTTCTTTTTCATAGCGACATCAATTAGTTCTGGCGCTGCACTCATCAAAAGTTCTCTGCCCAGTTTTTTCGCAGCCGGTAGAATAACCCGTCGTGCAAACGGTATAGCAACACGACCAATACCAGCAGCCAAAGCGCCAAATCCACTGCCGCGTTGTCGGTAGTGTCCAGAGAAATGAGGAAGTGAAGCTTGCTTTGCATAATATTGTTCCATTGGTTTTCAATCAAAGCGCTTGAATTTTAGAGTCAACACAATTTTACCAGTTCCTGCAAAAGGCACTAGTCTTCCAGTTTCTGTGCGCAACTGTACCGATATTGATTGTACAGATGAAGTGAATAATTTTTTGTAGTCTAAATTAGTGAAGTTTTTTCGATGATTAGGTTCAATGCTGCAGGCAATACCGTTTTTGATGCGTCTATTTGAATCAATGACGCGTAACAATGGGGCCTTTGCATCACCAACAGTTTGGTATTGAATAATGTCAATATAGACAAAAATTAGACTTGTCCCACTTGATAAGTCATATGGGAAATGAGATTCGTACAGTTCGTTTCCCTCATAAGACTCATCGAAGGAGGGTATCATTTTGTAACCAATGTGATATTCACCGTTCTCATCAAGCTTTGCATTGTAGCCTAACAGACTAGGTATTTGGGGACTTGGGAATGAGATTCCTTCACTTGCGTTCATCCAAATGCTCGTGCTATTCGTGATTTCTTGAGGACTCGCATCAAAATGAATTTTGTCTTTGAGTTTGTTTTTATCTCATTACTC